GGGCCACATGTGGCCCCCCAGCATTTTATAGGCTGATGAGATGATATTCAGAAAGGATTTTTTTAATTAATTGATTCAGTTGCCTCAGAGATTAAATCTTTGCGTAAAGTCTATAATGTCTGCCCATGTGACTTGTTTTTATTATTTGTTTTCTTACCTTTAAACACTGATTTAAATATTGTAATTTTTAAACTGAGCAGTAATTTTACATCCATGGAAACTCAAATGTAATATTTAAAACTTCAATACATAAAATCAGTTATTTAACAATATGAGGTGGTGTTTAATTTATTTTTAACATTGTATTTTTATACATTTATGCTAGGGGTGCCCAAGTCTAGTTTTCCAGAGCTACCATCTGCAACTTTAGATGCATTCCTTCTCTAACACACCTGGACCATTGATAAGCCTCTACAGAACTGAATGAGGGAAGTCAACCTTTTGTCTGGGGTGTTTTAGCAGGGATGCACTCCTGATTTGTACCGTCAATGTGGCCCGTTGAGGCCAATATGCTGAAGTGGCCCTCGGTGAAATTTAGTTTGACACCCCTGCCTTAAAGACTTTAACAGATTGCTTAACAGAAGTTAGATCGTGGATGAACCAAAATTTTCTTCACTTGAATCAAAACTCAAGTTATATTGTTTGGACAAAAGAACTTTATTGTAAACTTGATAAAGTTTTCAGTTCCCTTGTCCCTTTTTCTCAATCTTCTGTTGGGAATCTTGGTGTCATTTAGACAATTGTTTGAAATTGGATAAGCAGGTGAGCTCTGTTGTGAATCAAGCTTTTTTAATCTGCGCCTTCTAGCAAAGGCTAAATCAAGCTTCTGTATGAAAGACTTTGAGAAACTCATCCACACCTTCAATGCTACTTTAACTAAATTTAGAAGAATATGGTCCAATCTTCTTTACAGCGTCTCAAAATGATTCAAAACGCCACAGCTAGTCTCTTAACCAGAACCCAGAAATGAGAGTATGTAACACCAGCATTGGCATCTCTGCATTGGCTGCTGGTTTCTTATTGGATCAATTTTTAAATTCTTTTATTGGTTTTTAAACGCCCAGGCTTTTCTTCAGAGCCTTCTTTACAACCATTCTATTTCTAGAATACTTTGGTCAAATAATAAACCGCTCTTATATATTCCCAGAACCAGGCTGAAAAGCAGAGGAGAAGGGGCATTTGATGCCACCTAATTTGTGAAATAACCTACCATTTAACAGTAGATCTGCCCATAGCCTTGAATATTTCAAATCACTCCTTAAAACTCATTTGTATTCTTTATCATTTTCATAAGACCTGACATTATAATCCAACTTTCCAGCTGTTTAATTTGTGTTTTATTCTTATATGTTTTCATCTATGGTTTTAAAAACACTGTACGGCACTTTGATGCAGTTCGTAGTTGTTTTTACAGTTCTTTATTAATAAATTGACACTGGTATTAATAAAGTCCTAATTAAAAAAAATAAACTTTGTTGGATTGATTCCTAGATGGCACTCCATTTACCTGGTGGCTAGGAAGAGATAATAAGAGACACTTCTACTGGGGCGGGTCAGGACCTGGGATACAGAAGTGTGCCTGCGGTATTGAAAACAACTGTTCTGATCCCAAACACTACTGTAACTGTGACGCTGACCTGCGAGCCTGGTGAGTAGAGCAACAGAACAGCTTCATGCATGTGCTGCATTTGTTGTTTATTAGGCCTGAGCAGCGAGGCACTGCAAAGGCCCATTGCAAGATTTCTTATTCTTATTTTTCCAACAAAGTATGCGGCTTTTTGGAAGCCTTAGCATCCTAATTAACAAAGATGGTGCCATTGGGTAAATGTAAATGACCACAAAAAAGCCAGGAACACTTCTACTCTGGGCCAAATTCAGTTATATAGAGATTCTGAAAGTGTAGATTGTATGCTTTCCACTGATGTCAAACACATGGAAATAAAAAAAGAAGTTGTTCTTTACTGCCAAGTGTTGTGTGCATTAATAACATTCATGCCTATTGGTAATTTGATGCACAATAAAAGAAAAATGGACTTGAGTTGCTTTGGCAGAAATGAAACTTTTTCTGCACCATTAAATTAAAAAAATATTCACTCTGTCAGTTGTTTATTTGTTGTATTTAATTGATTTAATTTAATAATTTTAATGAAATAAAAATAACGTTGATGTGTAAGCAGAGCATTATAAGCAATCAAAGTTGTATAAAACAAACTTGAGTCTTACTAACTGAGACTTGAGTCCAGCCTTTCAACTGTATAGAGCTGTTCAGAAGAATCAAATTGCAAGTGAAACACACATCAAAACTCTCTTGGCTTCCTCCCATCATATAAGTACTTTTAAGCTATCTATTATTTTTGAACACAATCCTTTGATCAGCCAGCTGTACACGTTGCACTTTGAGCTGAAGTTACAGCAAATAAACGGTCGTTTACATGCAGTATCTTGCAAACCACCGGGGGGCGCCTGTAGACCACTAATACTTTGGGGATCACAGTTTGAGAAAGAGTGTCCTACAGCTTTTGAGATGCAGGTTTCACAATTACTCAAGACTATGTAATCAATGCATAGTCTTGATGCATTGAAGGTCAATAGTTATCAAAATCGTTTTCATACATGAAAGCATGTGGGCATATCTGACCATATACATATCTGACCATATCCCATAAAACATCTAAGTAGAATAACTTCCACACACAAGCTTCCAGGTGCATCAAACTTTGTGTCATAAGAGACCAGGACTCGTCATATACACATGATCAATTGGTGACATCACCTTTGCCACCCTCTTTCAACAGGAAGCCACCTGTTTTCCTACTGGTTTTCTTACTTTTACTCTTTAATTCATACAGATATAAACCTGTTTAATGAAATAGAACAACATAATGGTATATACTTTTCTCAACACTGGCTGCTGGCTGGAGCATGTGTATGGAGTTAGTTTTGTTTCACAAT